CTCCCTCCGGTGTCCGTTGCGGCGGCGGATGAGGATGACGCGTCAAACCCTAGCAGCAGCGGCGGCGGCGGCGGAGGGACGTCGAGGAAAAGGTTTAGGACCAAATTTACGGCGGAGCAGAAGGAGAAGATGTTGTGGTTCGCTGAGAAGTTGGGATGGAGGATTCAGAGACACGACGATGCTGCGGTTGAGCAGTTTTGCGCCGAGACCGGAGTCAAGAGAAATGTTCTTAAGATATGGATGCATAATAACAAGAACACTCTTGGTAAGAAACCCTAATTCTCTCTCTCTCTCTCGATCTTGGTGTTCTTGATCATATGTTCTTGAATCAGAGTTCTGTCAAGAGCTCTACTAGTTTTTTTTTAACTTTTTGTTTTATGCATTTTCTTTTTTAATCTATTGAGCCTTTTGTTTTGAGTTCTTGATCTGATTTTGAGATTATGGAAGAAGATTTAGGAGGAAGAAAAATGGTGAGATATATATATATATATATATATATAATTTAATCATCGGTGACTTTGGTATGGATCGTATTTTTTATTTGATGAATCTCGACCAAATTATGTATAACCTTATAGGAAGTTGATGAGATTATAATTATGTTGTATGGTTCAAGATGGCAAATAATATATCTAGTAATGTTTATATATATATATATATATGTGTGTGTGTGTGTGTGTGTGCATCTCGATGATCACGAGATATAGATATATATATGAGCAGCACAACTTGAATTATCGTGAAGTAATAACTGAATTGCGGATATGCATTATTAAATAATTTGGATATATAATCATACCCATGAAGACCTTGAATTGGTACCAATACACTTTGTGGGTCCAATTTATGAATGATGTGATTAAATTGAACATAAGAGTTCACTACTCAACGGTTTTTTATGGTGTACCTAATCTAGCAGATTGTTAGCTCGAATTTTATCCGAACTTCAAATTTTCATTGTATCGTCAAGTAAATATGATCATTAGTCGGACCAAAATCTCTATCAAATTTATAAAATATCGATTCTTGGCACGATTATTTGCGACTTTCGTTATGATCTTTGTGTGAAGATAACAATATTATTCAGTACCTTTCTCGACAATAATTTCGATAGCATATATATATATATTATCAACTAACAATGAAGCTTTCTGTGCTTAATTAGACACTATCATGTTAATCATATTCACCAATGTTTCTAAATGGAGAGCTTAATGAAGATTAAGAATCGCTTACCATAATATTAATCTATCCAAGTGTAATTAGAGAGAGAGAGAGAGAGAGAGAGAGAGAGAGAGAGAGAGAGAGAGAGAGAGAGAGATTCATGAGAAGGAATTCACATCTGTCACCTTCTCCTCGCGATCTTATCAAACCTCACCGTTTATTACATTCTCTCTCTCTCTCTCTCTCTCTCTCTATCTCTCTCTCTGTTGTGTCGTATCCACAAAGACGACACATATAATAATATTAATTAATTAATAAATAATACCCTTTAAACAATGTAACGCAACGGATTCATATGTACATACAGATCGATTTACACACTTTGCCTCTTGGTCTTTTGCAGTTGTAATCGGTGTTTGTCGGCACTGTATATCCTCATGACACGATACACTGTCTAATAAATGAGAGTATTTGTCCCCATCGAAAACATCGGATAAGGTTATGGAAGAAAATTATATATAGGCTGTGAATTGTGATCATTTCTAGAAAAAAAAAATTATAAAAAAAATATTGTTCTTTATTTTCTTACATAAAAAAAATATTTTTTGAAAATTACCAATATTTAAGACACAGTATAATCCAACTCGTTTGAACTCGTTATAAGTATCTATGAAACTTGAAATGTTGGTTTGCATGATATTTAGCAAGTAGGGTGGCCATAATTCTGATATATATAAAACAAAACTGAAATAAATAACATCCGAATAATAAGTGTGATTTTATTTACTCCAAGAAAATATAGTGGGACCAAATATTTAAATATCAACCTTATAAAAACAAGGCCAAAATATTTTCAATCGTGGCTTGAATCAGGTAGATAATGTGTGGATCGATCTATATATCAGGAAAATTAAATATGAAACTTCAATGGAATAGCCCAATCATTTAAGAGCCGCATTTCAGAGAAAAAATAACCAATAAAATTAAAGAACTATAACGAAATACGGAATTATAACACTTTCAAAAACATGTGAAATTCATTACATTTCGTCCTTTATATGATTGTACTTATCATTATTAGACTAACTGTGATTAGTTACTTAATCAGCACTTGAATATATATAAGTTTATAAAGCAATCTGATGTACTTTTGTTGTCACAATAAATTGAACAGATGGTGGCTTTGATGAAGAGATTCAAATGTACCTTGTCTGAGGACGAATCGAAAACCCTAGATTTTTTATTTTTTCGTAAAGAAAAACCTAATCTTTTTTTGTTAAAGAAAGAAAAACCCTAATCTTGATAATGGAAATCTTGAATTTCGTCTCACATATTTGTTGTTATGTTTTATTAATCAAAGAATAAATTATTTATACTCATATAATAGTGTTTTTGGTGAAAATCCTAATAAATAGAAAAAACAAAATGAACGTGATTATTTCTGATGACCAATGTAACGTAAATTCTACATTCTCAATTATTCATAATAAGAAGAAAAGAGACCAATAAATTACTTTGAGGGACATTATATATATATATATATATATATATATATATATAGAGAGAGAGAGAGAGAGAGAGAGAGAAGGAAACTTTAGTGATCTCAAAGGCCCTTCTAATGTATGAAATTCCGTCCCGTTTTTGGGGTTCATCGTACGGATATTCTCTCTTCACAGATGTCACTATTTGTTTTGGGTGATAATAGATTTGAATCATTTGATGCTCTGTTGAAATACGTGACATAAATTTTATTTATAATAATGTTTACATTAAATAATATAGATCATCTATGAGAGAGATGATATAAATATCTATCTATAAAAAGTGATGTATCATCATAAAAAAATCGGTGTTTGAATCTCGTAAATATTTAAAATAATGCTTAGATTCTTATCATGGGCCAACATAAAATTTTGTGAAGATATGGAATTATCTTTTTTGATAATAGATCATAGATATATCTTTCACTCAAAAAATTGATATGTTAAAAAAATGAATAATAAATGAACAGCTAATTAAAAAAACTTGTATTTATTTAATGCTATTCGAAATCAATCATGCGCTGCCTACATTCTTTCGTATATAATAAATTCAATAATTAATTTTAACGATCAATTCAACAAGAAAATTTAAATAAAAAACCAATAAAATAATCTGATTTATTTGTTTAAAAGTAAATCTCTACCCATTGGAAGTACCTTCGGCTTTCGTGGCGAAAATTTCGGCTTCGCACCAAAAGGAACATTTTCTCAATTACGATCCCGATGTCGACGGGGGAGGTGGCGGAGGCCGTACGACGGTGAATGGAATGATAGAACAACAGAGGTAGAACGATACTTATGAATTTGCGTGTATATATATAGGTATCCGAATATTTTGGGATAATTGCTGTATCCAAGCGATACATTAGAATTATTAATGAGTTTCGGAACCCTAAAATCTAATATAGATTTGAGTTTCAAATCGAATATCTTATAGGTTTTTGAAATGATATATATATATATATATACATGTATGTATATATATATGGTTTGATTGGATGAGACAAAGAAGGTGACATGACAGGTTTTTGCGTCCAAAGTGAGGTGGGGGCAATGGCCGATTCTACTCTTTATTTTCCATTTCCAGTGTCTTTTTTTCTTTTGCAGCCTTCTGTCTTTTCAATCACAATTATTTATCTCCTTTTTATTTTATTTTTATAGGGAATTCATTTGTAAGACTTTCTCATGTTCACGTTGGTTTCTTAGAGTTTTATAATAAAAAAAAATCTTTTTTAATTTATTTGTATTTTGTCCATAGATCGTTCAAATCAATTAATGATTTAATCAGTTTCATTCATTGGTGTTGAAACTAATATATGCACACTTTATGTCGATATATTTCTTAATTATTTTGGGGATTATTTTCTATAAAATAACTCGAATAAAAGGTAGTAATTTAAAGAATTTGTACTGAATATTATGTTTTTAAATAGAATTTTGGTTCACCTCAAATTTTATTCAAATTCGATCAGATTTATTTTGGGGTAATGGTAAAATAAAACATGAACTTTGTGTATTTGGCAAATAAATACACAAATTTTTATTTTGGTAATAAAATACACAAACTTTTGGAATAGTGGCGAAAAAAAACATAAACTTTTTTTATTTGGCAAATAAATACACAAACTTTTATATTTTTAGCGCAAACCTCTATGAACAATAACGACGTCAAAAAAATAACGGAACCATCAGCACGTCATCTATATTTGTGAATATCCATATCCGATATAAAAATTATAAAATTTTAAATTAAAATTAAAAACAATTTTAAATATAAATAAATTATATAGGTCATTTATATTCAAATTTTAAAATTTAAATATTTAAAATCAATATAAATATAAATATAATCATAATCTATCATATACAAATGTATTCAAAGTTTAAACATTCTAAATCTCAATTATTTAAAATCAATATAAATATAAATATTCAGATATCCAGAACGTACGAATCGGATACAGATATTTATTTTGAAATATTTGTCGGTTACGGATCGGATACGGATATCAAATTCGAATTATCCGACATATTCAATCTGATTCGTACTAATTAATAATACTATTAAATATAAGAATAATTTGGTATAGAAATTTAAAATACTTTATATTTACATGTTTTGTAGATATATTTAAGAAATATTTTATATAATTGAGATTTAGAATGTTTAAACTTTGAATACATTTGTATATGATAGATTATGATTATATTTATATTTATATTGATTTTAAATATTTAAATTTTAAAATTTGAATATAAATGACCTATATAATTGTAAATGATAGATTATGATTATATTTATATTTATATTGATTTTAAATATTTAAATTTTAAAATTTGAATATAAATGACCTATATAATTTATTTATATTTAAAAATGTTTTTTAATTTTAATTTAAAATTTTATAATTTTTATATCGGATACGGATATTCATAAATATAGATGACGTGTTGATGGTTCCGTTATTTTTTACATCGTTATTGTTTGTGGAGGTTTGCGCTAAAAATATAAAAGTTTGTGTATTTTATTACCAAAATAAAAGTTTGTGTATTTATTTGCCAAATAAAAAAAATTTATGTTATTTTTTCCGTTATTCCAAAAGTTTGTGTATTTTATTACCAAAATAAAAGTTTGTGTATTTATTTGTCAAATACACAAAGTTCATGTTTTATTTTGTCATTACCCCGATTTATTTTAGTTTTAAACTAGCCATTTCCTAAAAATAATATTTTTTTATTTTCATTAGATTTTTATTTTTTTTTTAATTTGATTATTTATTTTAATAAAAATAAAATTATATTTAATATTTTTTATATTAAGTCTAATTCGTATATAATTATAATTTTATATTATTGGATTAGGTTTTGTATATCCAAATCAATAATATTTTCCCATAAACGGGCCTAACTAACACATTATATCAGGGCTGGGCCCAAAATATGGTCCAGAAGAAGCCCATTGTGCCCTCGTTTTCTTTTTATTTACAATTACAAATTCGCCATTTTCACATGAAACCGCTTTCTTTTTGTCCAATGAAAATATGATAATATGAAAAACGCAGAGACAATGAAATGAGGATAACGCTATGAACAAATCTTTACACACTCAAATAACGTACCATTAAAAAAAAAAAAGATTCTTATTGAAACCTTATAAATTTGGAACCAAACTCAAATCTTATTTAAACCGTTATATAGAAAAAGAATCTTATAAATTTAATTTAAAATGATTCCCCTCTAAACGATTAGACCGATTTCACATTTGCACCGACTTCATCACGCGTGGGTCCATATGTTTGGACTCGCCCACACTTCAGATCCAATTTTCAGTCATTGAAAAAATAAAACCTGAAATCAATTATTGTATCACATATTAATTTCAAAAACATTTAAATTCATTATCCCTCACGCTCATATTTTTATATACATCTATTTATTTAATAGTTGTTCTGCCTAGAGAATTAGGCTAATTACGATTTGAGAATAAATCATATGATTAGAATTTCTATTTTTCTCTTCAATTTGATGTTAGAATTCGGACCGAATAATACACTTTACATCATTTTTTTATTTGAGTTATCAAAATTGAGTTTATAATTATTTTATAATTTTACGATAGATCATTTTAGTCATAAATTCATAAAATAATTGATATTCGGAATTTATGGATGACGAATTGAAAATCGAATCCTAAACTTCTAAATTTAAACGATTCGAATTTGAAATCTAATACTTCAAATTCTTACTCACCCAATCATGGTTGACAACCAAATAAATTAAATTATGATTATCCATTTAAAAAATACAAATTATTGTGTTGAAAACTAAATAAATCTAATTATGATTAATCAATTTAAAAGAGTTTAAATTGTGAAGACAGGACAATTTAGCATTTGTCTTTTTTTTTAACCAAATCCAAAACAATACGACAAAAAAAACATCGGAAACCAAAACTCAAACATCAAAACAAGTGACCACTCAAGTTGTTGACTTTAGTAACATCGAACTCTCTCGGTTTCACCGTTTTATTATGACAACTCCGTAGAATCCCCGTCGATCTCGATTTCCTCAGCCTCGCCGTCGCCGCCGAACTTTTTCCGGCCACTAAGCTCCGAATCACAACCACCGTTTGCTCGCCCTCCACGTGGCATGGCTCCGGCCCCACCGACCTCGACCTCATCACCCTATTCCGCCGCCGGAGTGGCCGCGGCGGCTCCGGCGGTTGCGCCACCGTCGACACCTTCTCTTGACTCTCTTCCAACACGAAAACGTCCTCCGACAATTCCACGCGTCTCACGCGCTGCCGCAGGTTATTCCACACGCGCGGAACGTGAGATAACCGCCTCACTTGTTTCAAACACTCCACGGCCTCCGACATCTCCGGCCTCTTCTCCACTGTCGACCTAACGCACCGCGCGGCCAAAACACAAACCGCCCTGACCGCGGCGGGTGGCGGTGGCGGAAACGCGATTATCGGGTCGCAGACCGCTGCGTAATCGCCGCGTTTCATCAGCGGTAACGCCCAGTCGACGACAGAAGATGGGCTGTAGTTCAAATCGATCGCGTTTCGGCCGCTGATGATCTCAAGCAACAAGATCCCGAAGCTAAAGACGTCGGATTTCACCGTCAGATCCGCCGGAGCAAGATAGGACGGATCTAAGTATCCAATTGTCCCTGCCGGGGGAGTGCGTTTCACGCGCTCGTCCTCGGAACGTGGACTCAACGCGAGCCCGAAATCCCCCAGTCGCGCGTTTCCACCACCGTCGATTAGAACGTTCGACGACTTTACGTCGCGATGGATCACCGGAGGCTCGGCGGAGTGAAGCGCGTGGACCGCACGAGCCACCTGGAGCGCGTGTTTCATCCTCCGGTTCCAACTGGCCGGTTTAGAAGCTAAACCGGGTCGGTGTAAAATCTCGTGGAGCGAACCGTTGGGCATGAACTCGAATACCAAGAGCTTCGTGTCTCGCTTCTGGTCAACGCAGAAACCGATGAGGTTGACCAGTCTGGGGTTCTTGATCCGGGAGAGGATCTCGATCTCGTGGTCCACCTGAGAGTTGTCTCCGCCACCGCCGATGCATTTTCCCGCGGCGGAGGTTCTCTTGACGGCGGCGATGAGCTTGCCCCCGTCAAGGACGGCCTTGTAGACGCTCCCGTAGCTGCCTTTTCCGAGGAAGTTATCGGCGGAGAACCCATTTGTCGCGGCGGCCAGTTCATCGAACGTGAACCGTCGAACCGTCTCTTCGGTGTCGGCGGAGGTGGGATTTTTCCGGCAGTGCTTTAGACGCCGGCGGCGGTCCCAGTTGTAGGGATCACAAGCGGCAATGGCGGATTCAGCATTGCAGGAGAGATAGCCCATGGACAAGAGAGAGAAAGATGGAAGAAGAGAGAAACAGAGAGAGAGAGAAGAACAAAATGGCCATGGAAGAAGAAGCAGAAGGAGAAGAAGAGGAATGAATAAAGTCTTAGGGTAACTGTTTTACAGCTTTGTTGCTAGAAAGCAAGAGAAAGGGCGTGTGAAACAATCATGTGTTCGAGTACTTTCTCTTGGCAAAAAAAAAAAAAAAGATTGCATGTGCTAATTTTGTGTTCACATATACGTATATATATATATATACGTATACGTACATGCGTGTGGGTTTTGAGTGTCATCAATCATTTCATTAATTTAGTGATGATTTCCAAGAGATTTGGAAATTATTTCCCCTTGGGGAACTTAGTGAACTCTTTTGCTCCATCATGTTTGGAGATGGATGTCGGGTTCGTATGAATATAGATAATCGTGTAATTTAAACTGATTATAATTATATATTAAACTAATTTTAAGTATTTAAATTAATTTATACATAAATTAATAAAAATGGTATTCATTTTATAGTTAAATTATCTCATAAAAATCAAACTATTTACATTTTTGATGGTATTATTAGTGATTTTCTGTAGTATGTTATTGTGTATATATAATCCCTACTTTTTTAGAAAACGTGCAACTTTGGGAGGGAATTTCTCGGGGATGGATCAAAGAAGTCCACTTTTGCCGCCGTTGGGATTTGACGGTTGTGAGTTCCTTCTCGTTCTCCTCATTCAAATCTTTAAATTGAATATCTTAAATATTTATTTTTTTATAAGAATTAATTAATGCCGTGGACCGACCTACCATTTATTTTATTTTTATTTGCCCGAGCATTTATTGAATTTGAATTCTTTACGCGTTCATAGTTTGATATATTAGCAAACTCGTTCCTCCGTGCCCATTCCTCAACAACTACATATACAACTGTAATTAAAGAACTTAAAACAAGGGTCAATATATAATATATATATATATAATACAATTGTTCACATTTAATTTTCACGTTTTTACGCCAACCATATCCAGCCAATAGAATGGAGCAGAAAAAATTCTAAAACTTTTATGTTTTATCTTTTTTTCAACAAATCCGTAATTAGAGATTCGTCGAAGAGATTGTAAACTCGATATTTCAGATTTTGCTAGTTTAGATTTTTTTTTTATTTCTGAGAAATGACAATCATTGATTATTTGTTAGGTTCGGTTTAATTTAGAATGAGAATCATAACCACAACCAAAACCGAATATAATAATTATGTTATCGAGCTCCAATAGCTAATTAATAAACAGTGCCGGAATACCAAATTACCCTTGATTTCGTTTAACCACGGAACTCACAATGAACGCATCTCTTCCCACCCAAACCCTCTGTGTGCCCCAGAGGGTTCCCCTGTTTTCATCTCTTCCTCACTCGCATTTTCTTTTGAGAGCGATAAGTCATCTAATTTATATAAATTCCAACCCTCTGCAGCAGTATTATAACACGAGCTTGTATAAATTAAATGATCGATAGTCTACGTGTTTTATTTATATTATATTATATTATATATATATATATAAACACGTAGACTATAGATCATATACACAACAATAAATCAAAGCATTTAAAAAAGTGTGTCCCGCAAACAACCACCCACATGCAAAGCTCTCAAATCTCACGTGACTTAATTCGATTCAACATAATGAGTTATATGTCTAATTTAACTCATTTTCGATTACCATAATACATAGTATAAGATTCATTTATATATAGAGAGAGAGCCGCAGCCCAATATCGGGTGGCTCAAACGGTAAGTTCCTTTTCGTTTGAATCTCTATTTGGAGAAAAACATTTGCCTAAATTTTTTCAATCTTTTGCGAGATATAATTTGACCAAATGACCGATAAACTTATAGATTATTATATAGAGAGAAGGAGCCACATCCTAATAAGGAAGTAAACAAGTTGGTGAGGATACTACATAATCTCATGTCACTTCCCAAAATGCGCCAACGGACCACATGCACTCACATGCCACAAACAAACGCACAAACAACACAATCCATATATGATAGCCGTATCTACCTATAGATTGATTCATATCACATTGGGTGAGAAGTAATTACAATCCATAAGTTAAAACAATTACTTTTTATTCAAGCTGCAATTGCGGATTTTGAATAATATATAAGAGTTTCAATATATAGTTTATAATCCAATCTGAGTAGTTCAACCGGTGAAACGGATGTGCAAAACGTCTATCCCGTCCCGAGTTCGAAACCTAGACTGGGAAGAGAACGTATAATTCAAATCACATGGCTAGCTTCCGACCCCGAGATTAGTCTGGCTTCGGCCCAAAAAACCCGGTTACCCAAAAACAAATAAAGTTTAAACATTAATGTAATATATTTTCATATTTTAGGTAGGTCGAATTCGGATACATCCAAAAATTAAAGAGAGACGTGTTATATTTTAAAATACGGAATTAATCATTTTTTTAGTTACTAATTTTTTTTTATATTTATTAGAAATTAAAATAATAAATATACTATTCATACGAATTCGTATTGGGATTCGATCGTAAATTTATTAGTAACCAACCAATGGGCCTGTGGGCCTGTTTAGTTTAGTTAGATATTTTAACAGATAGATGGGTGTGTGTGACTGTGAACTGTCTTGAATTTGATTTCGATTTCGATGTATTTTTACGAGCACTTTGCTTGTGATTAAAAAACAAAGGTCGTTAATCTTTAATTAGTATCACTTAATCCGACATTAAGTCCAAACATGTCCCGGTGGAGACCGAATAAGAAGCATTTACTATCGGTCGGTCCATAGATATAGAATCTCATTCTGCATAACAGATAAATAATATAATTAATTAATCAAACATGTTTAGCATAAAGGGTAAGTGTTATTACAAGGCTCAAAATTATATAATGTTGTCAAATCAAATATTCCCACTAGACCATTCCACTAACCATCCACTATTTAATCCAATAAATCAAAAGACTTTTTCACGCACTTAATTTCTTGACCAGAAAATATATGAGAAAACAAAATATAAAAAGCATTATTTGACTTACAACTCGTGATTCATAACCCAAAAAAACTCATCTTTATATCATTATATATATATATATATATATAATATCGTTTGTAAAATTAATTAGAAACCTCATCAAGAAGCTTGTATCTCTTAGCCTTGTTCCGAAACTTAGCCTTTAATATCACTTTGCCCCGAATCTCACTTGAACTCTCTTCCGA